GAGTTTTTAAGAAGCAGGTATTTTCAATATTTTTGGATTCTCTCCTGAATGAGCCCAATGCCTTGTTACCCACTTGTCTTGCCACGTAAACTTTAAGTTCTGTGAGGACAGATTCATATCTGTCATAACCACCATTATCTCTCCAGTTCCTGGGGCCAGCACCCAGTACACATAGCAGGCCTTCAGTAACCATATGCTGAATAACAAAGAATGAAATGTCAGCATTTTACTTTCGCATCTTACCATTACTTGAAACTTAACAGGACAGCAATGAACTCATCCTAATTTGAAACTTGACTCATTTTTTTCATCTCCTATAACTAATGAGCCCCCAAGTTATGTTGGTTTTGACGTTGAGAAGCACACATGCAAGTATCTTTTACTTCTCCATCTCCATGCCAGTGATTCCAATCCAGATACTCGCCACTCCACCCCGATCATGGAAATGGCATTCTGGCTACTTTCCCTGGCTCTTTTCCTACTCTAATCCATCCTGGCTTCTGCAGTACTGAGGAAATTTAGAGTATCCATCATCAGCTCACTCTTTCTTTAGCCCAAATTTATCTTCACCTCTTGTCTTTCATGGGACACGTTGTGGACTTCAGGCTTGCTGATCATCAAACCCCGTCCGTATTCTGTACGCCTTTCTCTCTTACATTTGCCCCTTTGCTGCCCTTGGTGCCCTGCCTTTTGCTTGCAAACATGTTCCAGAGTTTCCTACCTGAACACAAAATCTTCTGTTGATCCCATTATATCTTCCAAGCTACTTTCTAACCTCTTCTCTTAATTCTGAAACTTCTTAGAGTGATCTGCTCACATAGTCCTGATTTCCGCACCACCCTTACAGTCTCATTCCCTTTCACTGGCTTCCATTTCTCCCTACCACTCAATGAAACTTCTCTTTGTGGTCATCAGTGATCAGTTAATTGCTCAGTCCAGTAGAATTTTCTCAGTTCTTATCCTTTTTAACCTCTCTGTAGAATTGTTGGCCATTCATCCATTCTTGAACTTTCTTTTACATTTTTATTTAGATTTTTCTCCTACCTTCTTTCTCCTTTCTAGCTTGTCATCCTGCCTCCCAAATATGGGACAGAGTTCTGTCCTTGGATTTCTTCTGTGTACCCTGCTCACGTCATCTATGCCCTGTCATTTAACTGTTACCTCCATCTAGAACACTGCTTCTCACACTTTGATGTGCATATAAGTCATTTAGGAGATCCTGTTAAAATGCAGATTCTTATTCCATGGGCCTGAGGAAGAGCCTGAGAGTCTGCATTTCTAAGAGCTCCCAGGAATTGCCGATGTGGCTGTTCTCCAGAGAACAGTGGGAGTGGCGAAGATGTACATGACTTCCGATGCTGGACCTGGGACCTTGACCTGTTTCCAAAATTCTAAGACTGTATTTTTAGCTGCCCATGGAATATTTTCATTAGATTAACCAGGTAATGGTGGTCATCACCTCAAACTCAAACCAAACTTTTATTTTCTACACTTTCCCCATCACTTCTACTTCCCCCTTCTCAAGTTTGAAAATTCAGTTTTTGATTTTTATTTACACTTTCCTTGGCACTTATATCCCATAAGGAGTCTAGTCTCATCAATTCTTTCATAGAAATAGAATTCTAATCTGTTCCTCTTTCCCTCCTTATTCTGATTCTTCTATGATTCTTTGCTTTATCTCATATCTGGACTACAGCATATTGAGATTCCTGACTCTGGTTTCTCTCTGATTCTTCCACTGCTCATAAATCTGGCTTCCTTCTTCACTGCTCAACTTCATTCACCTGTTGAAGAATCGCCACCAGCTCCCCACTGCCTGGTGAAAGATAGCATAGAATCTCTAGGAATCTATCTCAAGAAATGAGAGTCTTGCTCCTGACATGAGGTTTGAATCTGTCCTACTTTGCTTTCCTTGGCCCTGGGTAGGATGTCTTGCTTTAAATCACTCACTAGGATGGGATTTAAAATGCAGGCTGTCCAGTTTACAAGTTGCGGCTGCAAGGTGCCATACACAGCCACCCTCGGCACTCTCTGCTTTCCATCCTGCCTTCTTTAGTTTCATTCATACATACATCTTCCTCCCTCACTACACCATGAGTTCATTTTTGAAGTTATGCATGGCGTCCCACTCACCCTCCATCTCAATAGCAGGTCTCAATAAGTGTATAAACTAATAAGCAAGTGGAATGTCAAGAACAAGCCTTAAAAATCACCTAGCCAGTCCATTCAGCCCTTGAACACACTCTGCAGTATCTGCCATCCAGAGTCTGCAGCGAATGTCTCCAGGGACGGCAACAGCATGAATGTTGAGGGTACAAATTCTGGTCAGGTTAACCTAAGTTAAATTCTGCTCTTATTAGCTGAATGGCCTTGGTCAGGTTACTACATGCTTTAAGTCTTGGCTTTCTCATCTGTAAAATGGGGATAATAATAGTAATATCTCATAGGGTTGTCAGGTTTAATGAATTGACACCATAAAATGTGTCTATGTTAACATAGTATCTGGCATTCAGTGAGTACTCAATAAATGGTACTTACTGTGTTTTCTACTAGTCTTGATGTTTTTGATATTATTTGTCTTGTTATAATTATTTATAACAGAACATGTTATGTTATAATTACCACTTCAGACAAGCTATTTCATTTTAGATAGCACTGAAATTACTAGAAACTTCTTTATTTCGTTGAGCTTAAGCCAGCCAGCAGTAGGTAATAATGAAAAGAGATTTTGGAAATTGTTGATCAGTTTGAAAATTATTGCAAGAGTTTAAAGATAATGGCCTAAATTGGGCCCATAAACCCTATTTAGGAATAGACAAGAGACAAGTACAAGAGGAATCATGCGGGGAAAATAACTGGACTTGAAAACTGATTAGACATGATGGGAAAAGGAACTGGAAATCAAGAGGAATTAGGACAGGTTTGAGAAAGATGGGCGGATTTTAAGGTAGTTATGAAATTCAGAGGATTAAGTCATTGGATTTGAGCCTCAGGTTTTACTATACTAACAATCAGACACCACATTGCAAGAGGTTTAGGCATTACGAATGGTAAGAAGATAGAAAGTGGATTACTTTAAAGAAATATTGTGTTAGATGGTGGCAGTGGTAAGAAGCATCAGTTTTATTTGTTTTGATACAATGAAAAATACTTAAACATCTTCCATTGTATCAAAACAAAAATAAACCTCAAAGAAAGGTCTCTTGGAGAATCAAGGGAATGGTTGGAAAGCAGATGGAATAAAGACATGGAATAAAATTACCAAGTCGCTTATTTTTCAGAAGAGAGAACTCTGGAACCAGAGGGGCAAGGAGAGAGTGAAGGGGAGAGAGACACTTGGAGAGGAAGGGAGTGAGGACAGAATTTATGTCAGTAGTCACAGTCACTGTACAGCAGAAATCAGAACATTGGTGAAGGGGGTGACAGGAGTGTACTGTGAAGGGTGCAAAAAATGTGTGGAATAGATGTTTTAGGAAATATAATAGTTAATTACATAGAAATAAAAACATTGCTGAAAAAGTATGGAAAGCCCATTGATGGCCAGCCATGGGCATCAGGCTAGGCTAGTCTGTGAAAGACTAACTTGATTTTGACGTTCTTCCATTGCTCCACTTATAATTCACTGCCAGCTACATCACAAATTTTGTTTATGGAGTTTCTACCTCCGAAGGTTTCTACCTTGTGTTCTGCCTTTGTATTTTATTAGACTGGAGTGTTTGATGTGTAGCTAAAATAAATTTTTAGTAACAAATCTCGAAGATCATCTAGTTCAACCCCACTTCTTTTTCAATGGAGGAAAATCTATGTACAAGTGGGCAAACAGACTCCCCTGAGGTCATGCTACTAATTTGCAGCTGACAAGTATCCAGGCCACTACCTGCCTTCTCTACTACATTTGGAGGAGCTGTGGATTTCTTTAAGCTTTAGTAACAATTCTTGTCAGTATTGAGACTACGGAGGACATCAAAGCAGAGTAGTGCCAGCGGAACCAAACACTGCCTTCAACAGGTTTTTACTACTTAATTAGGATATGAGATATGTTTTTAAAATACAAATTGCTAGAGGCAGGCTTTCCAGAGGTCTGCTCTGATGACAGTCACAGGCTGAATTTTTAATCGACCTGTTGCCTCTCCATGCACCTGTGCCCAATTTTAATCATCCACTGAAAAGATGCAATCAACTTTTGCTCCTGGATGTCCTCAGACAATAATGGGAAGTCTGAGACTATGTTATGGTAAATACAAAATAAAACAAAAGATAAAAAGCCTTAAATAATGCTAAAAGGGATTCTGATGCCTTTCACACTTCCATTCTGGATCATTTTACCTGTCATTTACCATCTCCTTTTGCCAACCACCACAGTAGAAAGACAGTCCAGTGCAACATAAAAGGTATTTACCATATGCCTGGCTCTCTCACTGGTTATCCGACTTTAGACACTTCTCAGCCTTTCCTTTTCTTCCTTAGCAATCCTTGCTCTGCTCATTTCAAAGTCTATTGTGTGGATAAACTGAAAAAAATCTTAAGCCCCCTGCACATGTGCAACGTAGACATTTATTGTATTTTCCTTCAGTTTGCACTGATTCTATAGGAGTTTTGGTAAATAAAACCTTGTGCAATGACCATTGCAAAATACAATTGTAGCCCTAATTGTCTAAACCAGTATCACTTGGTGATTGAATCATTGGCCATTTAGAGCAATCACATTCTAAGTTTAGAATGACCCTTTGAGCGCCTAAGTATCCATTCTATTCATTCCAGAAATATTTATGGACTACCTGCTGTGTGCAGGTTGTACAGCATTGTTTATCATAAGGCCTATATTTTGCTTTAAAATCAAGGAAACTTTATAGATAAGTAGTTTTATGTGCTCTTTTAGAATTTATAACTACCCTACATTGTACAGTTATCATGTAAACCAATGTGACAAGGGTAGAAAGCTGACCCAAGCAGAGGAGAAGGTTTAACTGCTTATATATTTATTTTTCCTGAGAAACTTGATACAAGAGAGGGTATTTCAAAGGCTTTGTGATCAAAATAGAAAAAATTGACAGGCTGGATTTAAAAAACAAAACGAAACTTTATTGATTTCAGAGGGGAAGGGAGAGGGATAGAGTTGAAACATCAATGATGAGAGAGAGTCATTGATCGGCTGCCTCCTGCACACCCCCAACTGGGGATCGAGCCCACAACTGTGGCATGTGCCCTGACCGGGAATCGAACCCCGATCTCCTAGGTTGATGCCCAACTGCTGAGCCACGCCTGGCTAGGCTGTAATTTGCTGTTTTCATTCAATCTTTTGTTTGTAAAATTTATCCATATCTATATGTAGCTCTAGTTCATTTATTCTCATTACTGTATACAGCTGTGACGATGTCCCCTTTCCTGATCTGCCGCCTCACTTGTGAGGCTGTTTAGAGAAGAGCCAGAGGAATCTTCCTGTGCATTCTCGTGCTGCCATTGCCACTAGTAAAAGTCACGAGCTGGGTGACAATGGTCAAGTTAAGTGATCTTTCCAAAACTCTGTTTTCACATTTGTGAAATGGGATTAATAATTTCTACCTCTTCAGATGTTCTTGTGACACTTAAATGGGATAATATATGTAAAACCTAACGTGATAAAGGTGCAAAAATATAGTGTGGGGGGATTATCATTACTGCGCTATATATGTCTGCAATATTATGACGCTGTAAGCAAATGTGTAACAGTGATCTTGAATTTACATTGTTTGATTTTTCTCATTGTACTCTTCGCTTGGCCATTGGCCTTGCTTCTTTGTTTATAATGGTAAGAAAATTTCACCTTTGAAATGCAGCCCTGGTCGCATCTTAGAGTTTCCGGTTTGTCTTTTACAAAATTGAATGATATTACCTCTAATGCAACTTCCATGGGGTGAAAAGCTTGAACCCATACACTTAAGAAACTACATTAAGCATTCATTAAATTACGCCTATGTTCTACTCTGTGCATAACTGGAAAGAAAATGAACATCCAGTGTTTCCCAACTTTAATTTTGCAAAGTAGCAATAATAGAACTGAGCAATCTGAATTCTGTCAGGCCAAACCTGTGCTGCTGCACAGTCCCCTGACTTGCAGTTGGAAATTAAAATCTTAAGCACACATTAAGGTATTTCTAAATGTTTTCTACAAATTTTTTAAAAATTGAAACAGAAGCTAATGTTAAATATAGCCTTTGAGCAGAAGAGAGTCTGGGATGTATTAAGGAACTTAAAACATTCTGAATCTCCCTGTGATTTTAAAGCATCATATTTTGGGTTCTCAACAGAGTTTATACAGTTCGCTACAGAGAAAAAGATAAAGAAAAGAAATGGGTTTTTCAACTCTGTCCAGCCACTGAAACAATTGTAGAAAACCTAAAGCCCAACACCGTTTATGAATTTGGAGTGAAAGACAACGTAGAAGGTGGAATTTGGAGTAAGATTTTCAATCACAAAACTATTGTTGGAAGTAAGTACCTGGAGCTATCTTACTTTCTGTAATTTTTTTCTTTTCCCCCTAATGATCAAGTTTTTAATTATGTCTTAATTGTGTAATAGACGAGTTAATTCCCATCTTCTAGTATTTGAGAAAACACAAAAGTAAACAGTGTTTTGAGGATTGATATTCCAGAATCCTTTTTTTATAACAAGTGTTTAAAAAGAAAAAACAACAAGATAACATTTGATGCCTCTATTGATAACAGGTCATTGGCCATTGTAGTATTTTAAATCAATCCCTGACCTTTGAACACCAGCTTAGCCAAAAGATAACAATGTGTGCAAATGTTCAGACAGAAAGCTAGGCCAGTAGAAGTGAACATAAAAAGACTTTGGGGGGCCCTGGGCTTTCTTCCTGTTATCCCTTCATTCAAAAACTTTATTGGAAACCATATTTTAAATGATAGTAAATAAAATAATATGCTCAAGTTAGAACTAAAGTTGTCGTTGTTTTCATACTGATTAGTAAGATTTGATTTAGGAACAAGAAAAATGAAAATAATGCCATTTTCCCCTTGTTTTTTGTCAGGTATAAACAAAGTAAATGGGAAAATTCAAAGTACCTATGACCAAGCAAACACAGTGGTAAGTACGAGGTTATTTTCCAGATTTTTTTTTTTTAATTGTGTTTGCATTATATTTTTATTTACATAAGGAAATAGTCCTGTTATTAGGTACTGAGCCTGGATCAGCTGATAAGCTATGTATGGGGGGGAGGTAAAGGACTTAACATTTTAGGAATTAGTTTCTTTTTTAGGAAACGGGAGGATGTATAAGACAAGATCATCTTTAATTTGCTTAAAGATCTAAAAGTTCGCTATTCAGTATAGTTACCCAGTACTTCAGTATTCCAGCTGTTTTGAGATTATGCTTATTATCTTCTGTCCTGTGGATTTTTTTTTTTTACTATAACATGTTCCAAGAACAAATTGGTACATACTCTACTTACATTTGCTACTGTTCAAATCTTTCCCCTATTTTCTATCACTTCCTACTTAAGAGCCAACCCTTTTCAAAATGATAAAGCAATTGCCTTGTTTTTTTAATGGCCCAGCCTCTGTTTAGTGCAAAAAGTGTTTGTATATTTTGTGTGTCAGGTGTTTGCCACCCTCTAGACACCTTTTTCTCTCTCACTTCAGCAACTCAGTCCCTTGTTCTCTTCTTTCCTTTCACCTTTCAAAGTCTGTCTTCATAAAGCATCCTAACAGTTATGTACTCCCTGTTATAAATTAAGCCATTGTTGTAACCATCACACAGATGTTTGCTTTTTTTTGTTTTAATGATTGATTGATGGGGGAG